TACCTTCCCAACCTAGCCCGCAGCTGATGGTTTTTTTGTAAATAGCGTGAAATCGGGGGGCAAACAATTGACTGTAGCCATGAACAGTGCCAATTCCCCTCCAACTTTAGAATAGACTAGAAAATGTGCCCGCGCGTTGCTGCGGGACTTGAATGTATCACCTTGAACAGCATGAATAAGATAAATTTTACCTGAACAAATTCAACACAATCATGAATGAAGAAAGGGATAGATGAGTGAATGAGGTTAGTAAGATATGCAGCTTCATTTTTATATACATTCAACTGAGCTGACATGAAAAGACATTGTACCATGAACAGGACGAAACTGAACGTTTTGGTTCCCTAATAAACAGAAGTAACATACAGTTCACACAAATCTTGCCCTTGTAGTCAATGTGGCAAAATATATATCATGTAGATTAGGCAACATAAAAACTGTTTCGTTCTTATTCTAGCATCTAAGTTTTCAAGCACAAACGTGCAAAGCAAAAAACATGCAGGACGCCTGTTACCGTAAGAAACAGAAGTAACATGCAGTCCACACATATTTTGCCTTGCAGTTAAGATGGAGTTTCGTTCTTGTTCAAGCAGCTAAGTCTTGAAGCAAAAATGTTGAAAGCCAAAAACATGTAGAACGCCCTGCAGCAGTCGTTCTTGTTCAAGCAGCAAAGTCTTCCGCACTATAGCAAAGAAAATAAATCAGAGTTTAAAAGAATATCACGCGATGGTCCTGTTTAGAATCACAATTTACTCCCCAATTTCCACCTAACTCCGAACAAACAATATTGATAAATCTTTATCATCACCTTTAACAAAACAGATCACAGCGAAAAGAAAAAAAAAAGTTCCTATGCAAACAAATTCTTCTGGATGTCCAACTTAACCCATCTATGAGAAGGCAAGCAATCGGACGTGCATTTAGACCAAGGAAAATAAATTATACAACTAAAAACATCAACCGATTCTCCTGAAGAGAACACACACACATGCCAACATATTATTCACCAGATTCTAAGCTTTCATTTTCGTTCTATACCGTTCGTTATCTAAACTTATAATTATCAAAACAGCAATAGAATAATAGAGCAACCTTCAATCATTTATCAAAACTGAATTAATTAAACTTCTGCTCAGCACTCCGTTAATTTTAATTGCAACTCTCGTTCTAAAAATTAAAAATTTTGCATTTGAATAATCAAACGCACTTACACATTACATTCCTTTTATTGGTTCTTGACACAATACATTTTAGGATTCGATGTTACAATAATATCACTGAAACATGAATCACGATAGATATAGAAACCAAACTTGCACACAAATGTTCGACTGAATTCAGAACCATTTAATTCAACATAACAAATTACCTCACATGCTTGCTCCCCTTCTGCTCTCATATCGTTGGCTGCGCTTCTAAACGGTTAATGAAGTCCTAAAAACAGAACAACAAAAAACGTTTACCTTTCCAACATTTCAACATATGGTTTTGGCAGGTATAACATTTCAACATAAGCATGACATAGAAAGACAGAAATCCACATGTCACTTTGTTTTTTCAGAACCAACAAAAAGGGCAACTATAAGAGAATGTAACCAATTTTAAACAGTAAATCAGTCTCCCAATAAAGGAGAACATAAGCATGACATACAAAGATCGAAAGGCAGATTTAATTTGGTTTCCTCAAAAGCAACGAAAAGGAGGCTGAATCAGATCAAATTAAACAAAGTGAAAACCAGATAGACAAAGATTAGAAATTTGCTTGCATCTCTATCATATCCCGCATTTCCTTTACAAAATAAACAATCATGAATACAAAGCACATGAAAATTAGCAAACCAAAAAAATTGTTAAAATACGTTCTGGAATCGGTCATCTCACAGTATGCTTATCTACCCTGTTTTTGCTTAACTACGTTTTATTTAGAATTATGTTCAGCGCACTTTTGATGCATTATGCTTGGAATCTGTGACTGATTTTATTGTTATATTGGTTATTGTACTGTTCATTTCATTGTAGGGCAGACAGGAAACATTAAAATAGTAATGAAGCTCAGAATATTCGCTAAACACCAAAACCCACATCACATGCCCTCTACCCGACAAAGATAAATTAAAAACTACAATACAATGCTGAAAAACTAAAGTAGCCAGAAACCAAAAGATCTTAGTGACAACTTGCACGGACATTACAAAAATGCAGGACTCAACACACTAAAACGTCTAGAAACTCGAAGTTATCGCTATTTGGTTATGAAGATAGATATATATCACCAGGAAACCCAAAAAATGGCCAGGATTTGCCAAAATTTGTAAATCAAACACATATGCATCAACTCCTTTTCCTCTGTTAGTCTGTTATCATCTCACATGCCACACTATTCGAGACTGGATCAATTCGATCACAGCCAAACTGCCAGTATTAAACTTAAGGAAGTACCAATCAAATGATCTAAACATTGTGTATTACAGATCCAAGGCAAAAGTGGTAATAAATAAGATAATTTCAGCTGTCATTTGCAATTAAAATTGAACAATGCTTATTCCCAAGGAATATCTGACAATGATTGCAGCAATCAAATGTGCGTTCAATTGAATTAGCTATGTATTTGAGGATTTGGGAAAGGTTTTTTGAGAGTAAACAGACGTTAATTATTAGCTATGTATTTGCTTAACAAACAGTAGCTGAAATTGCTATGTATTTTTCAATGGGGAATTTAAAAACCAATCCCAATTTGTCATTGCTCAAACAAATTGGAATTTCAGAACCAATCTCAATGATCAAATTAACGAAATATTTCTTAAGCTAATTTAGAAAGGCAAATTGCAAGATTTTGAAGGAATTTGAAAAATGAGGGAGAAAAAACCAAATTAGAAGGTCGTGCCTTATCTCCCTCACAAAATCAATCGCACAAAAACCATAGCTTTTGATGGAATTTCAAAACCAAACAAATCTCAAAGATAAAGTTGTCATGTAAACATGTCTAACACAAATTTCTCAATTATTAACACTGCTCTTTCTCAATTATTAAAAACATAAAGATCAAAGTCAATTGGGTGTATAATTATATACCTCATCATGCCAAGCAAAGCAACCAACTTCTGCCTCCAACGACCCAAAATTCTGAAAATTCCAAAAAATTTAATTTAAAAAAAAAAAAAAAACATAAGAAAGATAAAACCCAGCATAAGAGAAATCTACAAACCGGATGCCAGATCATCAAAAGATTAAAAACCACTCAGAATCAATTAGCAATTGAGTCTAAATATGAGAATTTGTGAATTTGTTCCATAGGATAGTTAACAGGATACTATGATATCAAAACCAACACTGAATAAAATCAAGCAATGAGATTGCGATGATATAACGTCATTTCCTTAAAGCTTCATATACTAACCTAAAAAAGAAAATATGGGAAGAATAGACTGCCTCCATTGGCCCTCCAAGTCTCCTAACCACCAAACCACCCGTCTAGATGCATTTGCCTGTTCTTTCCCACAATTCTTAGAGATCAAATAGAACCCTCGGATTGACTGGGGACAATATGGAAATCCTTTTTGAAGCCGTAATACAGGAAGACATGAATAATTTTGACATAAAGACACAAATTGTTGAGGGAGGATGTAAAGCTTCTGCACGGAAGGTTTCTACTCTTGTACATCTAAAAAAATTAAATGAAGCAAGAGAAATTCAACAAAAAACTTGATAACCCTCGCCCAAAAGAACTCACTAAATTCAAAGCATACCATCTACACTGAGTCACTAACATACATTGCTCAGTTAGGACTCTGTTATACTTATCATCCTTGATCAATGTAATCATATATTTCATAGCTACACTCCCCATTGACATACACTAACATAGCATCTACCTTTTTGCTGACTTTATTTGCTCAGTTAAGCAATAGCCAACATACACAATCTGACAATCATAGCAGCTACAGCAATCATCCATAAATGGGCAGAAATACAAATACTATTATATTGGGGTTTGGAACAAATAAACCAATCATCCAATTCGAATGTTGTTTGGAACAAATACACTAACCATTCAATTGAAATGGCATTTGGCACAAATACATTTTTCCATTAATTGGATATTCAATCAACTGGGATTAAAAAATGATTACCAAACAAAAGCCAATTTTCTAAAGAAAATTAGTGTTTTATACCTGCCAATTCCAAAGGCCTGTATAAGCCCAAAATTGAGGGATGGTGACATCTCCAATTTGGAGTTGGGGATCTGCATTTCCTGCAATTCCATAGTGTACAACAGCTTTCACCTTGAATAGGGTTTGTAGTAATTGAGTTGAGATGCCTGCATTGAGCTTTTCACAGGTTTCTACATCAATTTTTTTCCAGCAGGTTTCTACAGAAAATACTTCAATAATATTGAATGATACGGGAAATAAATGGTTAAGATTTACACTAAAAGATTTAATAATTGTCGAATCTAACGGATAATACACTTGTAGTATTGAAGCCAGACACTGTTTCTACATCATTTATTAAATACATTATCTATGATATGCACTGACCAACGAAATTAATCAAAGTAAAACAGATGGTCATCTGCATAATTAAACATACCATGCTCAATCCAGTCATAAGAATTATAACCTTTTTGTCTTCCAATCGTCCAATTCGAAACCTTCTTCCTGTCAAATTGAGTATGTAGAATTTGGTCCAAAGTTATTTTTCTTTCAATTACAATATTCTATGTATTTATAAATTTCAGAGCAGAACGTGCAAAGGCAAGAAAAGCAGCAACAACAACAAAACTCATATAGACCATGAGCTATAAAGATAAACATTTTAGCAAATGATACTGATTTCCGCATACTCATTATTCTCCATATACACTCGTGTTTATTTTGGTCATTTGAATTGAATAAAAAAATATAAAAAAATAAAAAAGACAAAAATTCAACAAAGGTGCAGCATAAGAAAATAGTGTGAGAAATCAGTTTCTTTTAGGAAATATATGTACATATCACTCAAAGAACACCCATGTAATTATACAAACTTAATGAATATATATATATATATAATTTTATGCTTACCAGCAAAATCCAAATACGGTAGCCTCTGATCAGCCACAAAGATTGTAGATTGAGGTTATAACCAGAGATATCTTTGAAAAAGGCAGATCAGATTCATGAGGAAATAAAAACTTTATGTTCAAATACGAAAAGCAAATCAAGAAACGCAAAAACTTGAGAACTAATCGAAACCCAATAGAGAAAAACGAAAATCCAGAGAAACCCACTAACCTGTTCGAAGAGTGACAACCATGCAAACATTCCCCATTTTGACAGGAAGAATAGCAGAGTGTGACATAACCATTCTGAAAACTATAATAGCAGGTTTCCAAATCATTGAAGATAATAAATGAATAGCTAGACATTGAGAATCGTTTTCTTCATTAATTAAACAATAGAATGTGTACAGGGCATAAGTCAAGTTTGCTAATATAAATATCCTCATTATAAATATCACTAAAGCGTGCACATACATTGTGAGGTTTGCCAATATTTTCAGCTATTTCCAAGTGTGTGCTGGTTTGTTTTTTTCCTTTCAAATATGCAGTTCTTTTCATTTGAGTGTAGATGTTAATATTTCTACGATTCAAGTGCCATTTTATTTCTTCACTTGGAAAAAGAACTAAGCCTTTTAAAGTGGCCGTGGTGGAAAGTAACTGGATACGGTTGTATAATTTCTTGACTCACTGCACATTTTGTACCTAAAATTTCCACTTGATTATGTTTTAGCCTCTACCTATTCTCTTCCTTAATTTGGTTTTGCCTAACCAAAGTCTTTTCCTGTTTAAGGACGTGCGCCCTATGTTATTTCCTTCTCCACTGCATTCTCATCTTGCTAAAATTTATAACATCAAACCATCAGAATCTCAACCCATAATCAGTTTTACCCGCCCACAATAAATCAGAATCCTCAAGCCAACAACTTACATTTGATTCAGGAAGTAAAGTGACTTGTGCATATACTTCATCAGTGTCTGGTTCAGCCTATAATTCAGCCGAAAGAAACATATTATTCCCTCGCAAAGCCCAATAACTTGAGTACAAAAGAACCAGCTAAACAATTAAATCCAGAATTCTTAATTTTCTTTATAAGAGCAGCCACCACACTACCTTCAATGATACATTGACAACCCGACAAAGAATCTTCGATGCAAGATTATACACTGGCATCTGCTGATCAGCCAGCTGATTAGTCGATGCCTCCACCTATTTTTGAAACCAGAAATCCAATTGACAATTAGTGATAAAACCCAGAAACACAACCTAATATTCATCAGCTACAAAAACCCAAATAAATAAATAAATAAAAGACTCAAATTTCTATGTAAAAGCGAACATATTTTGACCCCAAAACAAAGATGTCATAGATGGAGGAAGAGAGAAGCGACAAAAAGGGAGAGATACTAACTCAACCCCACCATCTCTTTGCAGCCAACACATTCATTCCCTCAACCCTACCCTCAAATCTTGTACCCAATCAACTCTCTTTCTGTCCCCCTAATCGTGCACCCGCCGTCACCTTCTCTCTGCAACCAACCCCCTCTCCTATCTCCCCCAAATCACACCCCCACTCTCTGCAGCCAACCCCCTCTCCTCTCTCCCCCATATCACACCCCCACCCCCTGAAGGCACTGACACCAGACCACCTCCCTAGAAACCGGCCCTAAAAACCCATACCCATACCTCCCTTACCCGTTACCTTTCTCAAAGCAAAAAGTGTTATATATGATAGTACTGACCCCAATCTGGTTAATGACATTAACTGCATAACGCTCACCAGTAGGTATAGTCTCACTCTTTGAGAAAGGCCTGAGGTCAAAATTGGCAACAACAAATTAACAAAGCCAAATGAAAGAATAAATCTACCGTCACCACAAATATTTTCTAAAATGGAAGATAGACCAGAGTCAAACAGGAAAGGGATAGCAGACACAGTGAGCTTTGTCTCAGTTTGAAAAGAAAATTGGGTAGTTTCAGGAGCAAAATAGTTCATTTGTGTAGAACTATAACAGCATCTGAGAGCTAGGAAGTTATCACCCAATAAATTTTGTTATACCAAAGATTCAGAAAATGGGATTAGGTATGGTGGTACCCTTTCTCTTCACATTTATAATATACGGAGTATAGTGAAGGGGGAAAGCCATACCTTCCTATGAATGAATTTAAAAGAGGGGATTTTCCTGCATTTTTAGGACCAAAAACAAAGCAGCTAACATTTCTTTCCGTTTTTTTCCTTTTACGATCTACTGATCTTCTTCTAGTAACATGGATAGCTGAAGCAGGACTGCCATTGTATCCAACATATATCAAATTCGTCAAACTTCGGTTTGGATTTAACAGTGTCATGAGGGCCCACTGGAATCACAAAAAAACAAAGATATAATTACAATTTACAATTGGCTAAGGAGATTCTTTAAACAAAGAAATAAGGGAAACATAAATATCATCCAAAATAAATGGAAAAAAAAATTCATGAAGAGCATATGTAAGCTAATTTAAACAGGGTAGCAATGAAAACGAAGATACCTCAGACAAAAATGCATTAAGAGGTAAATTCCCAGATGCCGTTCTCTCTGCAGCATCCTTATAAGGAGCTTCACTCCAAGGACTGAAATTTCGGTAAACAGCATATTAAAAATCTATTTTTGGAGAATAAAAAGAAACCATGATGGGAACACACATTATTTTATCCACAAATAACAAAGGGGTAAAAGGAACATACATTATTTTACCCTCACCAGTCAGATCCAAGTCAATCCATACCAGGGGCATTTTGTACTCTTCTGGAGGTATCTCCGTAATTTGCTTACTCTGCTTCTCATTTACCAGCTACGACTCATTTCCACATAAAAATAGAAAATCTGGATAACATCAACTAATGCCAAATCCGAATAATGCACAAACCCTAAACCCTGGATTAACATAAATTACATAAATCATGTGAAAATACAGAAATTACAACTTGAATACCAGAGACAGACCTGAAGAGGGGAAGACTGACTTGAAGCTGCTTGACAACTTGTGACCTGGTGACGTACCTAGCGGCATTTCCTTCCTTCTTCTTTCCCTGCAAATTCGACGGACAATCAACGGGAAGTGTGAGAAAATGGTGAAATTAAATATTGGAAGTTGTTCTTTTAATACTGATGTATATAGGAAAGCTTATCGGAGAAGGAGGAGGTGACCTAGAACTCACCGCAGGCCTGTAATGCTTATGCTTCACCGGGGCCTCGATTTGCAGATAGAAGCTCGGCCCGATCGTAACGAAGCACAGCCTCTCTACCCCTTGAAATCTGAAATCCCCACCCAAAAAACCACGCATGGGCCTTCCTGATGCGAACGGTGGAGTAAGATGACATAGGCGAGAGAAGGGATCAGCGAGGGATCTGAGGGAAATTACAAAGTGAGAAAATTTTTCTTGGGATTTTTATTGTGTCATTTGAGTAGCTAAAAGAGGACTATAACAGTCAAATATAGTGAAAGAATAATTAAGGGCAAGCTGATTGTATGATTAAAGAAATCTCAAACCTTCCATAAAAAAATCAAAGCGAAAACCAGAGAAGCGTGAGGATAGGAAGAGATTGATACCTTACCGGACGTTGGGGGTAGCCCAAGTTGACTGAAATCGACGAAACCTTGCTCGACCTCTCTCTCTCTCTCTCTCTCTGTGTCCATATGAGAAAACCACATCACCCAAAAGGTCAGAGATTTCCAAAAACAAAAGGAAATTAAGAGAGAGAAACGGAGGGGAGAGAGAGAGAGAGAGATAGGAGTACCGTTAGTTAAAGCGTGGACGGCTTCGGTTCTCCGACCACTGTAATACCTGAAGATCTCTTCCGCCCGCCGACTCGAGTCCATCTCCCTGCACTTCTCCTTCATCCCACCGAAGCTCTCGAGTTACAAAAATGAAGCCGAGTTTCTGTGGTTTTAGTTTTAGGAAGCAGGTGCCGATGCTATTCTAGAGATGGTGTTGTGGCTGCGAGGGTTTGAGAAAGTGGAAACGAAGCCAGAAAGTTGGCTAAAAGCACTCGAGTGGCAATCTTGTAAATAAACTGAAATGTCTTACAAAACACTGTTCATATGAATAGTGCGATTTCCCCTCCTACTTTAGACTAAAGTAATAATGAGTTCGGGTGGTATATTATAAAAAATTATTGGGTGGTAAATTATCAAAATTTTAATACTTGGGACTTCAGAAGGGCGTTTGTGCAACTCCGTCAAATAATTTCGAGCACCTACGACGTCGTACAGAATGATAAAATGCATAGGATTTCAGAATTTGCGTGAAATACGGGTGAAATAGTTCCCAAATTACAAGACTTTTACTCCATAGCCGAACCTCCCACAGTTCCGCCGCAGCTCACAGCGTCGCGGCTCTACTTCCGACCATCAGAGAAACCCAGCAACTCTCCTTCACCCAATAGAAATTCATTCCGATTCCCAGAAAATCAATATCAAATTGCGGGAAGGAAGTGGCACGCCAGCTCCCATGGACTCGGAAAACTCATCCGCCGTTAAAGTACTCTCTCTGTCTCTCTCTCTCTCTCACTTTCTCTCATTCGCGCACTAGGGTTTTGTTTGTCAAGTTCTTAGCTTTATTGAGTTTTTGCTTGAATTTTGATTAAGCTTTGTTGTGTTTGATTTTGCTCAGAAGAATGAGGGGAAAGAAGATGAGGAGCTTACTAACTCAATGAAGAAACTACAATTTGAGGAATCATCATCCGGTTCAGGGCAGGCATCAGTGTCTAACTTCAAGAGAAAACCGGTTATTGTAATCGTTATCGGCATGGCAGGTAACTTCATTGAATTAGGTTGTTTTACTTTATTCATTTTGGTTCCTAGTTTGGTGAATAATTGTGTTATTATGTGGCTACTCGATTAAGCGATTGAATGTGTTGTGGGTTTCGATTAGGGAGCGGTAAGACAACCTTTATGCATCGGTTGGTTTCGCACACACATGAATCCAACATTCGTGGATACGTGATGAATCTCGACCCAGCTGTGATGACTCTCCCGTTTGGTGCGAACATTGACATACGGGATACTGTTCGGTACAAGGAGGTGATGAAACAGTTCAATCTTGGACCAAATGGTGGGATTTTGACTTCACTCAACTTGTTTGCTACCAAGTTTGATGAGGTAAAAACTTGCTTCTGAATCTTTGCCTCAAATCATTTTGTTCACTTGAGCATTTGGAAAGCATTGTGAATGGTATATGGCGCCCTTTTTTTACTATCAACCCATCTTCACAAGCATTTGGAAGAGTTTTGTATCACATGCGTAGTACATCAGATTGTAATTTTGGTGATTTCATTCAGTAACTTTGTATAATGTATTGCATCATTGGGCTGAGTACTGGTTCTACTTGTTCAATTTGTTTCCAAATACATGGCCATTTTGGTTGAGCTCTTAAGTGGTTCTTGTATCTCATGCTTTGTCTTATTTGCTTCATTCTTTTTTTCTCATTTATTAAGAATGAAATTGTCATCATGATCTTCAATTTCAGGTTGTCTCAGTCATTGAGAAGCGAGCGGATCAGCTTGATTATGTTCTTGTGGATACTCCTGGTCAGATTGAGATATTCACTTGGTCCGCTTCTGGTGCTATCATCACAGAAGCATTTGCTTCAACATTTCCCACTGTAATCGCTTATGTGGTAGATACGCCTCGTTCAGCTAGCCCAGTCACTTTTATGAGCAACATGCTGTATGCTTGTAGTATTCTTTACAAGACAAGGCTGCCCCTTGTGTTGGCATTCAACAAAATTGACGTTGCTCAACATCAATTTGCTTTGGAGGTATGTTTTACTGTTATAGTTGTGTGGGAATGCAGGCACGAGATAGCATGCAGACATAGACTGATTAGACATATACATAAGCACTTTAATGACATACTCACATCGTTTAAGTGCTTGTATATGGTGGGTCTGCAAGCTATTAGGGTAAACCATAAATTAAGCCAGTTGCCCGCTATATAAGCAGTAGATGGTTTCAGGAATATATTGCTCGGCCCTAGTGGTAGAATCTGTCACAAACTCAGGTGGTTTATAGTTATTTGAGTTTAAATATTAAACGAATGTATAGATTGTGGAACCATGCTGTTAGGGGGCAGTCTGTCATGCGAAACTCAGTAGTGACAGGGAGCAGAGCATAAAACAACCTCCAGTATTATATTATGCCATTTTTCTAGTAGAATAGCTCTGTTCAACCTTATTATGATTCAAGTGTTGGAATACCATTTTAATATGCCCCCGATTTTAGTAGCTTGATGGAAATAATTGAAAATTTATATGGAAGAATTGTAGTTCTAGTCCTGAAAACTGCTGTGTTCATGCAGTGGATGGAGGATTTTGAGACATTTCAAGCAGCAGTGAGTGCAGATAGTTCATACTCTTCAAATTTGGCTCAGAGCCTCTCCCTTGTGTTGGATGAATTCTATAAGAACTTGCGGTCTGTTGGAGTGTCTGCGGTTACTGGTGCTGGAATGAAGGATTTCTTTAACGCCATTGAAGCAAGTGCTGACGAGTACATGGAAACCTATAAGTAATGCATGAACTTCACAAACCTACCTTCACTTTATGCTGCAATGCCACAGTGGGAATATGTTTATGATGTAGGTCAAAATTATGTATATATTTGATTTAGTTTTCATAATTAGCCACTTCTTATTGTTTGTGTAGGGCTGATCTGGACAAGAGACGGGCAGAGAAGCAACGATTAGAGGAGGAACACAGAAAGGAGAACATGGAGAAGTTGAGGAAGGATGTGGAGAAATCCAGGGGAGAAACTGTGGTCTTGAGCACTGGTTTGAAGGACAAAGATGAGAGGGGTAATACCGTGATGGATGAGGATGAAGAAGATGAAGTCGAAGAGGAAGATGAGGTTTTTTCTGAAGATGAGGAAGGTATAGATGAAGATGAAGACGAAGAGGTTGGCAGGTTCTCGTTTTAGTGATGTTTCGTTGCTGGCAGATGTTATTTGGATTGTAAGTATTAACTCACTAGTTGGTAGTTACCAAGGGAATGGATGGTATCACTTGGGGTGGACGTTGGTTGAGTATTTTCATCAATTTGTTTGGATGTAAACTTTGTTGGTGAAAATGCAATGAAGTTGGTTGTACAATGCATGTATAGTCCATCTAATTATTTCGCTACGATAATCATGATTATAATTTTAACGAGTTTAATTTCTTGAAAGAACCACTGATCATTTCCTCTTTTTACCTTAAAAAAAAAAGTTAATTAGCTCCCTTTCCTCATTCCAATTGTGTAGTGAATTTTCATCGCACACATCACAAATAGTTAATTTCTTAAATCATAATTTAAAGAGTATCTTCTGCAAAAAATTAACTTAATCATTAAGAATCGTTCATTTACTTGATAATGACTTAATGATCTCTAATTTGATTATATTCTTAAATGGTGACGAGAAAATGAACGACTATGCAACGAAGATTGTTGATGGCAATTAGACGCTTTGCTTCTCTGTTGCCAAAAGTTCATGCAGTTGTGATCGACAGCTAGCAGATATCTAAAGAACCCTTTTCACAGTTCTCTATATATAAAGCCTATAGCTGATGATGTGCTCTGGAAGTATTAGCACATGCTTGATATCCAAGAGAAATTTTTTATCATGACAGGAATACGAATGGTACACCATATGTTTTTATGTAAGTGGTGGGAAATTTTATTTTTTATGTTATTAATTTTTAACATATATCTCACCATTTATATAGTAACACGTGATGTACCACCCGTATACCGGTCACACTGAAAAATCTCTCTATATCTTGAGGTTAAAGAAATTATTACCTCAATCCAGGAACAAGAAAACTTCAACTTGGGAAAAGGGGAAACAAAAAAAATCAAGAGATCGAATCATTCTCTTTAGGAAGGAAACCCAGAAGAGACCTTTTAGGCTAGCTTGTCACCAACCCTTACATCATGTATAAAAATAAGAGAAAGAGAGTCCTTCATATGTTCTTATTACATTGTGTTGAAACTAATCACCGAAAAGAGAAAAAACAAGTAATTAAGCATCTGCTCTACGATGGAAACCAAACCCGTGGCGAAGGATGAGACGAGTTATCAGGATTTCGAACCGTTTTGCCAATGGAACAAGGAGGAAGGATATGACCTTCTTGAAGTTCATCTACCAGGTACTACTAGATCTATTAGATTATGACTAAATATTGAGTCATTCTATCATACATCAATGTATAGTATATATTATCTTTTAAGTGACTCGAATTCACTTGTTAAATTTTCTGAAATATTTCTCAGCGCACATCTCTCTAGCTAGTAATGTATGCTATACATTGTTGTTCTTTAGAATTTTTGCTAAATGTGTAATCTAGATTTACTGTCTAAATATATTCTCTTGTACATGAGACAATTGCCTAACAGCATAAGTTTGGCAAAAGATCGACTTACGTTTCATCTTCTCTTACGTACTCGTTGTTCTACTTGTTGATGCATGCATGTAGGTTTCAAAAGACAAGATATTAGAGTTCAAATCAACAATTGGGGCATCCTAACCATTAGCGGAAAGCAACCTAGGGTTGAAGAAACTACATCTGCTATACCCAGCCGCTTCTGTAAAGAGATCAAAGTTTCTAAACATTGTGCTACGAACGGTATCCGCGCTAAGTTTTCCCGTGGAATTCTTTCCATAACCATTCCAAAGGAAGCTCAGCACGGCGGAGTGAATGCTGCGTGGGCGTCAGTTAATGACTACGTAGTTGGTTTAAGAAGCAAAGTTTTGAAGCCAAGGCTGAGCAAGAAGACGGCTGTGATGGTGGTGGTGGTTGTTCTGGTCATGGCTCTGGGAGTTTATGTAGTATGTAGATATCCAAAGTCAGCTAGCTAGCTACTCTTACAGTTCAAAATTGATCAACAATTTTAGCAAAACATTTTTAATTTTCAGACCATATTACATTTCTATTACCTGGTCATTTCACTTAATTTACTTGGTCTCTTTAGTTTTTCTGTTTCAATTGTATCTTAATTTGTAATTATTCAATTTCAATATATAATAAAGGTTACAAAGCAGAACAAGCTCCCAGATTGCCTTTATAGCAAGTACAGTTGAAAATTTTAATTAATTATATTTTATAAC